CTGGTCCTGCAGTAGATCTATATAAACGATTGGCGTATATCCCTTGTAAGGCAATCCTGGCCTGTGTATGTAGATAACTGAGTAATGACTGTAAGCGGTGAGTTTCATATAAGCGAGGGGATCCCTAGTTCTGACAAGATCGCTGAGTTCCAAATTTATGGACACACAGCCAAGCAATGTATATCCGAGACCAAACACAGACCAAATTGCATCTTTTCAACCAGCCCGATTGAAAGTGCATTGGCCCAATCTTGACTGGTTGTCGACACCGATGACGTTGAGGCGACTTTTGTTTGCCCTTCAGCGGTGATGTTTCAATCGTAGAAATGAAAGGTTTTGTGGCCGACGCGACAAAAGAACTCCGATTTCCATTTACTGTTTTCTAATGCTGTTCATGGTCACTGTATGATATGCCCTTCCCATAACATTCTACCTTCCTACGAGAACTTGCCTTTACGGCATCATTGCTGGTGGTCTTGTATGCGAAGCCTTGGTGCATGCCTTGACCCACTTCTCCGGCGGTCGCCCGTTTGCTGGTGAAGTTCATGATTTGTTACTGTTTGCAAACCTGCATTGGAAGACGCCCATTGGCCAGAAGAGCATTTCAAGTCTAAGAATCATGGGAAGTTTCCAGATACTACTTTTCTGTGGAATCTGTGAACCTCAACAAGGCAGGAACCCCTGATTCTCCTGGCTTACGTGCGGTGCTCTTTCCGGTCGCCAAGGTCCACACCGAGCACCGGCAACCCACCCTCAAACACTTCACGGACCACCTCCAATTTTCAAAGTCATAGGTGCCTAATCTAGAATCCCCTGCTCCCCCCATATGGAACTTCGAACTAATTATACAACAGTTCAGAGAAGCCGCAAAAGGTCGAGAGAAGAAAAGATGTCTGATGATGACAGCATAAGTGCAGACACGGCCAAGGAAGACGAACCCGAACCCGTGCCCCGGCCCTTCTGGGAGTGCCTCAAGCCCGCCACCTCGACGATTGAGTGCGGAAAGGCCTTCAGCTTCGACCCGATTGGCGACCTGACCCTTAGAGTTGGCGAGGATGTAGTCGCCTACGAGTTCATCGTCTGCTCCCGAACACTCTCTCGGTGGTAACCAGTGTTCCGCACCATGCTGTTTGGTGGCTTCGCGGAGTCAAGGCCCGCCGATGCTGCGTGGAGCGCCAGCCTACCCGAGGACCTTCCCTCAGCCATGTTCCTTGTCCTGAGCATTATCCACGGCTGCTTCGAGCATGTGCCGACATCACTGAGTCAAATCGAACTGTGCCAAACGCTGGTAGCGACGGAGAAATACGATATGACCAAGATCGTGCGCCCATGGGCCACTGCCTGGTTTGCGCCTTACAAGAACATTTCCAAAGTTTCAGGCAACGAGATACTTCTATGGATCTCTTGGGAACTTGGATATGCGGACAACTTCTGCTGGCTTGCGAAAGACCTCCTTCTCAGCTCACCTGTCAATGGCAACGGGCAGCTAATTGGCCAAGACGGTGTCGTCCTCAGCACGTATAGCTATCTCGAACCACCCGAAATTCTCGGTAAGTGTCGTCGAAGTACTTTGACATCTTTCATCTGACTTTTGCATAGAGGAAGTCACCAGGAGAAGAAAGAGAATTGTTGATACCATGGTTGGATGCATCTACAAAACGCTGGAGGCGGCGTTCGGGGAACCGGAATGCCGAGGTCAGCCTCAGAAGCGCGAGTGTCCCAAATGCTACCGAACGTACGGAATAAACATGCAGGAATGTACTCATTGCTCAGCTGGACCATACGACCTCGGAAGGGTTGCTTTGAAGAAGTCGTCATTGACCTTGCCGCCACACATGTGCAAGGCCTTGGTATTCGGATCCCTCGCCAAGGAAATAAGCAAAATGTTGGGCCAAGACGTCGCGTTGATGAAGAAGCCAATACCTCACCTCCAGCAGAGCATAAACTATTTGCTGCTGATGATTGACTGCATGGAGGTCGATGTTCTCGCTGAGCACCAAGCGTGCAATCCGTTGCCAGCCACGCAGAAAGTAATCCGAGCAGTAGTGGAGTCAGTTACTTCCCCGGTCAAAAGCCTGCATTTGGAGTATCTGAAGGAGCAAGCAAAGAAGACAGGCGTTTGAGAGTTGGCAACAAATACTATGGATGGACGATGGAAATCGGATTTACGGAGCAGGGATTTGGCGAGGACAACGGCAACACCGAGGCTATGCGTCTCTGACGTCGTGGTCGTATGTTCAACTTAGACGTATCGATGGCCTAACATAATAAGCCCGCGTGGCTTCAAAGTCCCAGAGTTTTGCCTTAACAAAGTCCTCCTGTTGCTTCAGGTCTCCTTCTGGGCGGCACGTATGGTGTTCAAGATCAAGGGGAGGGGATCGCTCGTACTACACATGGGCATGGCGAGAACTCTCTTCATATTGATGTAATATACATAAGGTGAGCCTCCATCGACCCATACTGGCTCAGACTTGCCTTTACGGCGTCATTGCTGGTGGCCTTGTGTGTGAAGCCTGGGCGCATGCGTTCCAGCAAAGGGTTACTGCGATGCAGAAACGCACAGCGCTGGACGCATGGCTTCGGCGACCACCAGCTCGGAAGTATCTGTGGATCATCACAGCCAGCTTTCGGATGCACTCGCAACCTGGGTAGAACGTCAAGGAGCGATGAGCGTGGTGCCCTTGGTCTTGCCGCTTTCCATCTTGGCGGTTCTTGAACCGAATTGGATCTGACGAATGGTAAGCTGTCTGCCTGACTCCATCAACTCTCCATCAGGGAGGGACTTACAGCTCTCTTCTTCTCCCGAGCAACGGAAGCCATGCCGAGTGCCTCCGCCAGGAGCCTTAGAACCCTCTTCCCAGGCTCGATCTCTCCCTCCACCTCGCCGCGGCCGTAGTCGCACTTTTCCCACACCAGACACTCGATCGCCCACTTGACGAAGTCCTCATCCAGGTACGGGAACCGCACCTCGCGGCTCCAATGAGCCATGGCCCTGTCGTCGCGACCCAGGTTGCGTTTACCGAGGCGGCCGACGTCGAGCTTGAGCTCGTCTAGCAGGCCTGGGTAGCCTCTCCTCGAGAATGCCGTAGCATGTCGAACGTAGCCGCCGAAGAGCTCATCTGCTCCGAGGCCGGAGAGGAGTACTCTCACTGGCGTGGCGTAGTCGACCCCGGTGTCGGAGGGGTGACTTTGGGACTTGCCGATGCCCCGAGCGGCGAAGTAGAGCGCGTAAGCAATGGAAAGGTCCATCTCGGTGTTGTGGGGGTACATGAGGGAGATCACTTGGCTCCGGTGAGCGAGGACTTCTTGGTACGGAATGTCAACCTGCTCCGGGTTAGTGATTGAAAGCCCGAGGTGACGTGAAGGGCACTCACGGCAATGAATCTCCACCGGCGGTCCGGACAGACCGCAGCCAGCTCGGCAAACGACTTTCTGCCGGTGATTCTGTCGGGACAAGCCTCGTAAAGGTTGACGTTGGCGGCAGAGTTCTCAGCCTTTGACGCGAGACGCGGGTTCTCGAAGGCAACGTTGATGAGATCGATGCCTTGGTCTGGCGGCAGCAGGTCACTTGCCATGCGCGCCAGGACTGTACAGTCCAGGCCACCCGAAAAGAGTACAGAGATTCGCGTGTCGTTTCCTGCATCATGGGCTGGCGGCTCTGGTACGTTCAAGACACGCAGCTTGAGCGATTCAGTCAGCTGATCTCGCAGCGCCTGGACCGACGATGAGGTCGTAGTGAGCGGCGGGACGTCTGATGGCGGTATTGTAGTGTTGAAGACACCAATGTTGAGGACCTATCATCGTAAGTAGCAAAACGAGACCAATCCCGCGACGATCCACGACTTACCGTACCCTCTTCCTCATTAGACCAAGACCGAGGTGTCAAGGGAACATTCGGATCGATGTCAAATGACGCAAGGTCATCCACGTAGATGCCGTCCGCCTCGACTTCTGACCACTCCAGCGACGTGCTCTCCGCGATGCTAGACAGCCTCAGTCCATCCTTCCGATTGAGTAGCAAGGACCGTCTTCCCAAACGGTCGCGACCAAAGTAGAGCCGAGATGACGACGCGTCGTAATAGACGAACGCGAATGGCCCTTCTATCGTGCGGAGCGCGTCCAGCACTGCATCTTCGCCCGCGGCACGGCTACTGGCCGCTACCAGCAGGGCGAAGACGGCCTCGCCATCGTTGCCTTCAACGGGCTTGCCTCCAATCTTCCAGGCCTCGCCGTTCCAGCAGAGCACCGAGCCCGACGACGCGTCGCGAAACGGTTGCTTGGTGACATGGTCACCGCGCAAAGCTAGGACCGTTGATGTGAAGGTCAAATGCAGGGGTTGCGCGTTGGCGCCAGAGGGTACTGCTTGGGTGCGAACTTCACCAAGATGGTCCGGACCGCGATCACAAAGACAGGTGCGAATATTTGTGGGAAGCGATTGAGCGTCATCACGCGAGATGACGAAATGAATACCGCACATGTTAGATCGCGTGTGGAAGAAACTTCCACGGGATGTTCCAGCGGAGCATTGCACAAATTATTGCACCACAGGAGCGAAAAGTGCAGGGCATGCGCCACACTCACACTGCAGCATCTGTCTCCACTCCAGTGCATGGACCACATAGCATTCACCAGCCACCCGGCAGCCACGCCCTGACGATGCCGGTCGCGGCTGGCTGAGTGCCATCGTGAGCATCACAAAAACACAGCAAACAATTCTGCAAAGAGTTTTAACATGTTGCAGATCGGAAAAAAGTACTTCCGAGACGGGGAATTGAACCCCGAGCCTGACGGTAATCGCTTGAGAGCGTCAAATGTTGACCATTACACCATCTCGGATGGTTGTTGATTGAGGTGCAAGACTAGCTCATCAAGGATGCAGGCTGTCGATCAGCGGAGCGAATACCGTGAGGGCTCATCTGATTCAGCGGGGGTGGCCCGTCTACGCCAAACCACATTGTTGGAAAAGCTACATGGTGCTTGATCAACCTTTCACGTCGAGGATTTGAGGTCTGGAGAACCTTTAGCCCTGATAAAAGAGGCCATGGGTGGCAAGGAACTCCGCGTTTGCTGCGGCTAGTTTCCCGAGTATGTGAGGGCTGCCTCACCCGGCTAATAGTCAAACAACCGGAGCTACGATATCTCTTTGCGCCGTGCAAACGCCAGTGATGTGTGCTTTGTAGACCGAGCCGTTGAATCGAAGTCAGTGCACCGATTTTCCCTCTGGTACTCCTCCTATCATCCGTCATCAGCTTACGCCTTATGTTGCCCCGGATGGCGCAGCGGATGACGGGAGCGAGCGGGGCGCCATGATGAACCGCGTCGACAGAGCGGGCAGATGACCAGTCTTTTCCGGGGAGATCTGGGGAAACCCCCCATTTGAGTTATGCAATTGGAACACGAGCCGCGAAGACCCAAACTTGGCGGTCATGGTCAGCCCAGCGTTGGCCGACAACATCACGCCACTCCCCAGACCACTCCCATCAGGCGACAGTGCCATCATCATCGGGCGAGCGCAACGGCTCTGCCATTGACATAAAATGGCCACTTTTCCCCCGGAATCGAAATCGACGCTAAGACAGCACCATCGACAATGGCTTCAAGAAGGACATGCCAACAGCTATGGCGCATTCAGCCCACCACAAGCGCTCTCATAAACCGAAGCATCACAAAGCCCGCGGCAATCGGCAGACTTCTGCCTGCGGCGACAGCAACTCTCCTCCCGAAAACCCGACTTACAATTCAATGCCGGCAATCAAATTTCTCCTCATTTCAACATCAAACTCGCCCATACTCAAGCCATTCTCCTGAAACGACAGAGCATCCGATCCCGAAATGGACGCCGCCAAAGGACCCCACTTCTCGGCCCGTAGTGGTTCTCGGCGCGGGGGTCCTTGGCCGCCGACTGGCGGTAATGTGGGCCTCGACTGGTCGGCCCGTCATTTTGCAGGACATCAATGAGAAGGCGCTCTCGTCTGCCGTTGTCTATGTCGGCGATGCCCTGACGACTGTCTGCGCGGTCCGCGAGTCACATCCCGGCCGCGTCACGACGAGCACTGTCCTCGAGGAGTCTTGCGGCGCCAACCCCTGGATGGTCATCGAAGCACTGCCTGAAGACCCCGAGATCAAGCGCGAGATGCTTGGAAAGGTCGACTCGCTCGTGCCAGAAGACTGCATCATCGCCTCCAACAGCTCAACATGGCCGACATCGGCATTGCGAACGTTGATCTCCCGCCCGGAACGTCTCCTCAACACGCATTATCATCTTCCACCACGTAACACCTACGTGGAGCTGATGACCTGCGGAGCCACCGACAAGGACCTCATGCCCTTCTTGAAAGAGCAGATGCGGAGCGTAGGCTTCAACCCGCTTGCGTTGCCCCATGAGTCCGTCGGCTTTGTCTTCAACCGCATCTGGTCTGCAGTCAAGTCAGACACCCTGCGAGTCTTACAGGCAGAGCTGGCTTCGCCCCGAGACATTGACGCGCTATTCCGAGACTTCTTCCACGCCGAGAAGGGACCTTGCGAGAAGATGGACGAGGTTGGTCTAGACACGGTCTGGCAGGTGGAGCGGAACAGGGTGAACATGGGCGTCGTGGATCCGAAGAAGGCGGGGTACACGGACTGGCTGGAGGAGAACTACATCTCAAGAGGAAGACTGGGAGAGAAGACCGGAGACGGACTCTGCTCTGCGGAAGAAAGAAGGTTGTTGGCCCAAAAAAGAGCGTTGGCAAGGAAGTCTTATCTGAAGTTGCGCTAACGAGTTCATCTATGTCTTTCTAGGTTGCTTTGGAAGGAGTTGGAATCCATGAAGGAGGGTGACAATGGCGCTTAGGCAGTCGGTATCATAATGCAAGCTTCCTTTGATCTAAACTATCCCATTATTATATGGTCTTGAAATATGACTATCGTCCACGTTGTTAGGCTATCATGTTTGAGGACACTTGTATATTCCTATGAGCTGCTTGTGATTTAGGGGAGAATGATCTAGATGATTCAGCATGTTGTCTTCATCAGTAGGGGATGTCATAAGCGCAGCTTCTGCCCGCGAAGAACTCTTGAAGAAGTTCTCCTTCTGACGTGATCGGAACTTGTGTCATCGGCGGATCAACCTTACATCGTCAACACGAGATGGCCGACAGAAAGAAGAGGTGCACAGGATCCCCTCGGACGGATGCAGTCGCCGAGTTCTTATCTGCACAGGAAGCCACCGCAGCGCTCCAATCCGAATGCCTTTGGCTGCTTCTTACTTATGAATCGATCCGCCTCAGAGATGAAGGATTGCAAGTTGACGGAACGCAGCCGCAAGCGTCAGACACCCTCGACGACCAGGGGATCCTCACTACAACATCATCAGCTGCAGATGATGAGGCAGATAGCCACACCATGCATGACGATGCCGCCTTCATCTCGCCCCCCTCTGCGGCTTTGGCGTTCAAGGGCGCGAGCTGGGACTGCCTTGGAGATGCAACGAAGTCCCTTTCTTGTGGCAAGGCCTTCTACTTCGATTCCCGTGGCGACTTGGTTCTGAAGGTGGGCGAAGCCTTTCACGAAGGCGGACGCGACTTCGTCGTCTGTTCGAGGACTGTTGCGCGATGGTCCAAGGTCTTCAACGCCATGTTCTTCGGCGGTTTCGCGGAGTCTATCTCTTCAGCTCGCGACGGTACGTGGACAGTTGCACTGCCTGAGGACAGGGCGGCTCCCCTCTTTCTCATCCTGGCCATCATTCATGGCACTCACCAGCCCATACCGATGGGTTTGGGACGCGATGAGCTCTTTGACCTCTTGATAGTGACAGAGAAGTACGACATGACACATGTTCTTCGACCGTGGGCTTCTCAGTGGGTTCAGAATTTGCCCCTCGATAACTACGAGAACACTACGGGCCAATACCGCGACGTGTGGATTGCCTGGGAGCTAGGTTGCGAAGCTAGCTTTTGCAAGATGCTCAATGACATCTTGTGGGACTGTCGCGTGGACGATGCTGGTCAGCTCATTAACGTCCACGGTGTGCCTCTGAGCACAATTCCATGCCTGGAGCCCTCCAGCATTCTTGGTATGAAGCCCATCGGCTAATGTTCCTGTCCGCCGAACTACTACCATTATTCCTTTTTGATTCACAGACTGATCAGGATTTACAGAGAACATTTCTTTCAAGCGAGCAGAACTCATAGAGAGGCTGATCAACTGTCTCCGCCGAGCAATGAAGACCTCCCTTACAATGAGTCGCTGTCAGGAAGAACTTGCAGAGATACGCCATTGCAATTGCTCTGACGTTAACTTCGAGAATCGATCCGCCTTCATAACAAAAGAGGACTGCGACGACCTATTTCTTGGCAGAATTATGCGCCGTATTCGAGAAATGGGATTGGAGGAGTTCGTTCTGCCGCGCGCCACCTTCTCTTCGTATCTTGGAAGTATTCATGATCTATCGGATTTGATCCTACTCGAAGAGGTTAACGGACACGTTGAGGGCCACGATAGTTGTGACCTCTGGATTGTTGTCCAAATAGAAGTTAAGGAGATGGTCGACAACTTGTCGTCCCCAGTCACGGAGACGCACCTTGAATACCTGCGAAACCAGGCCAAGAAGACAGGTGTGTAGATAGACCAGACTGCGTTCAAGAAAGAAGAGTTGATAGACACGGTTTGTGGCTATACGGAAAAAAGAATAAGAACGTATTGGCTATGCCTTTTGAGAATTATGTTCGGTCAGCTGCTTTCGCTGCAGGCGGGCTTTGTTTTGCTCCGACACTAAGTAAATTACCGACGATTACACAGGTAAAATGCCTCCTCAATTTCTATAGCTACTAGTGGGTGTCATTCTGGGACTGTATGGATAGAAACGGGCTGTAGGTATGACCCATTCGTGGCACTGAACAAGGAGGGCGCTAGTTAGTACAGTTTACGCGGGAGAAGATGGCAGTATTTTCTCCCTCCAAAAACAACTACTTCCTAATTGACTTGCTGTCTGAGATTCACTATTCTGTCTTCGGTCTTCTTGTTTCGTCTTCGTTGTCGTCTACACGCGTTGTTGAGTGAGAATATTTAAATCGGAACTCATTACCTATCGCTTCAACCGACGTATTTTTCGTTTTATGATCACAGCATTCATTTGAAAGTGAAGAATAGAATTAGCATGCTGGGATGATCACCTAGGGTAGCGCAAATATCATTGGGTGGATGAGGTGTACCTCATTGTGGCCTGTCCAAAACGCCGAGTTCTAGGACTGCACGTCGCGGCTGCATTGCCTCCCAGCTGGAATGGTAGTATAGTGCATGCATGTTACCCATAAGAACAAAACTCGATTAATCGTGGTCTAATTCACTGGTTGCCGTATTCTCGATTTCAAAGCTTGATCTTCGATGGTAGGCCTCCTGCATTAGTTCGAACCCCAGCAAACTTTGGAATGACTGATTGGCCACGAACCCAAGCCCTGCCATTCCTTACCCGTCGTATAGCAAGGGTGCTCAACAGCACGGCTATAAAGAGTCACAAAAAGCCGTCGTAATACGTTCATTCAAATCTACCACATGGTTCACGCGGCGCGTCTCTCGAACTTTACTCAGTCGGTATCCTGCTGCCCTCATACAACCAAGTGCAACATCATGAGCCAAGTCCACGATCCATGGGATGGCCTTTTTGATTCACCATCAGCGTCTACGAGAGAGAAGAAGGGGGAAAAGACTTCGAGCCTGTAAGTATTTCTGAAGGCTCATAAATGAGGAAACGTTGACGAAGTTGCGCCGTCTGATACCCACCACAAAACTCCGGCTATTTTGAAGACCCAGATGTCTGGGAATGTATCAAACCGGCAATGGAAACATTAGCTGGCGGAAACATTTTCTACTTTGATTCGCGTGGCGACTTGACTCTCAAGGCTGGAGGCGTTAGTAATGAGAAGCTGCGGGTGTACGAATTTGTTGTGTGCTCCAGGTCCCTTGCACGATGGTCATCCGTCTTCCGTGCGATGCTGTTCACTGGTTTCGCGGAGTCGAGGCCCAGGGATAAGGCTCCATGGACAGTTGAGATGCCGGAGGATTCCGTTTCTCCCGTCTTCCTGGTTTTGAGTATTGTGCATGGACACTTCCAACACATACCCAAGAGCCTTCAGCAAGACCAACTCTACCAGTTACTAGTGGTGACTGAGAAATACGACATGACGCAGACTCTAAGTCCATGGGCTTCAACATGGTTCCAACCATACGCTGCCACGAAAACATCAGTAACCGAGGGCAAGGAGGTTGTTATGTGGATTTCGTGGGAACTTGGTCATGAAGGAACCTTTCGAACTTACGCGAAGAACCTATTGCTCAAATCGAAAATCAACGATGCGGGAGAGCTGATCGACAAACACAACATTGCCCTCAACACTTACACATTCCTTGAGCCACCGGGAATCATTGGTACGCCGTTTTTCTGCTCATTTGTTATGTTGATGAGTGCTGATGTGTGATGGCATCAGAGAGAATCTCTTCGACCAGAGCAACGGTCATTCATAAAATGACGGAAATACTCTATCTATGGTGCCATCTGGGATGCCTTGAAGAATGGAAAGTGTCAAAGCCAAGCGGACGCTTGGGGCCACTTCCACTCTTCAAGATCGTCGGATAAATGCATAAGGCTAGTTCTTGGATCCCTCATTCAGCAAGTTCACAAAATTGGCTTGCAGGATGTGGCGCTCTTGCAAACTGCCACACCCAAGTATTCTGGAAGCATCAACGACCTCTTATCGGCAGTTCAAACAATCGACTTTTCAACCGACCCATCGGGGCACACTTCTTGCAACCCATTGCAAAACATTAAGGAGAAGGTCGCTAGTCTCGTGGCCAAGATTGAATCCCCGGTAACTGACAACCATTTGGAGTACTTGCGAACCCAAGCGAAGAAAACTGGTGTCTGACGTTGTTTCGCAGAGGCGTCCAAGCAGTATTCGCTGAGATTGTAGGTTTCTGAGGGTTTTATCCGAGAGAGAATACTTTCTTTGGATCCGCGAAGCGCTGGGCTATTGGTTCCTGACGACGGCAAACCTCCCAGCATCGGGATTCAAACGCAATTGAGTGCGCAGGTAACATTGATCAATGTTCTCATACATCAGTGAAGAATAACAAAGAATGGAAATTTGAGCATCCTTTGCCAGAGCATTGATACGAAAAAGTGAAGGCGCTCCAGCTCGGAAGTTGCTTTGTGGGTAGTAGCTACCGCACAAGCTAATGAATGACATGGGCAAGATGGCAGTCGTTCACGTACTGGCTCCTTCCTCAGCATTGCCGGGGCCACCATCTACCATGTTCATTAATATCATCCACCTCAACTTCCATCTTTCAACTCTTCAAATTCCACTACCATAACACAACACGTTTTCCCACGACTATGGACAGTACGAGTCTTGTTAGACAGAGCCATCATAGAGAGCCGCTGGAAGCCAAGGTTCGTCAACGTCCCATGCGACGTCCAATCTAGGCTGACACAAGCTACAGATAGGTGGCCATAGAGGTTGCTCCCTGAAGCCCAGGCCATCCTGGCCCTCGAATCCTTTCCCGTGAGATTTATACGGCCGTCAACAAGGTGCGCCTCCAGGCGGCGAACTGCGAAAAAGAAAAGTTAGAAGGGAAGAAAGAAGGTCATGATCATGGCATCCAAGAGTTCCGACGTAGACCAAAATAGCAATCACAGCACAGACGGCATGTGGAAGTTCCTGAAGCAGAAAGCTGTCTTACCGACCGCAGAGATCTTCTCGGAGTACGAGGGAAATTTGACGCTGGTTGTAGGAGCACCGCCACGGCCTGATAACCAATCCGGCCAGGACACCCTGTTTGTCCCAACCAAGCAAGAAAGCCGGAGATTCCGAGTCGATTCAAAGACCATGGCCACAGTTTCGGATGTTTCCGATTGCATGCTCTTCGGCGGCTTCGCCGAGTCAAAGCCTGTAGCAAAACCCTGGGTCGTAAGCCTGCCTGACGATAACCCTTGGGCCATGTTCTTCATTGTTGCGACCGCCCATGGATACTCCAGCTACATACCGGATTGCCTTGGCACCGATGAACTTCGAATTGTCTTACATCTAATAGACAAGTACGCCGTGAAGCCCATTCTGGCCGGTTGGCTGCAGAAATGGATCTCCGAATGTCCCGACCACCAGTCTCTGTCCCAAGATGTTGCCTGGCTCATTGGCCATGAAAAGATCTTCACTGATCACGTCAAGGCGAGTTGCGAGAATGCTCGCATTGACGTACGAGGAGACCTCACCAACCAATCGTCGCTTGCACTATGCTATTACGCTAGTCTTGAGGGCTTTGATCAAGAAGGTTAATGGATTCTTGACAAGCCCTATGCGTGCTCCAGGCTGACATCCTTTGTAGAGTCCATCACGCGTACCAGAGGGCTGTTCATTTCCCACCTGATTCGATATCTAAATGTAACACTCGGTTCGTCTCGAGTCAGAAATCTGTGCGAACGCCAGGACAAGTCGTGCGACGCGATGGTGTTAGGATCTTTGATAGAGGCCTGCGACGACGCCGATATCACACACTGTGTCGCATCTTTGATGGCTATACGAAGACTCCGAGTGGTTGGAGAACCTCGATTCTTAGGAAGCGTGAAGGAGCTCATTGGCATCATTAAGACGATATCCAAGTCGATTGTGTCGACACATATACCCAGTTGCAACCCGTTCCACGGCATTGACAAATTCGCTGGGGGCGTTTGGCACAAAATTGGCTCACCCTTGAACCCAGAGACTCAAGATCGCCTCCGAAAGAATGCACTGGTCAGTGGATTAACAATCTGAAAGCGGTGGAATGACCAGAAGGGTGACTGGGGCTGTGGTCGAACTTGGGGGCGGACAGCCTGTCGAGAACAAGGTAGCATGTAGCAGCTTCGGTTATGATGTATTATTAGCTTGTAGGCCACTGGGCCAAATCTGAATGATTGAATACGAGAGCAAGGTCGGTACTTCTAGGAGCTAGCTCTAACTATTAGAACCTGCTGGGTTTAATCAAAGGGCTTTTTGCAACTTTGATGGGAGGCTACAAAGATTGCGACGAGTGCGTGTTCACCATCGGATTTCTTGATATTCCCTACGCAGTGTGCTTCAGGACAGGTTTTCAAATTTTTGTTTTGTTGGAAACTCACTGAAGAATGTAAGTCGGCGCGCGGAGAAACAGCCCGGCGTTTTGCTTCGAAAATGGTAGCCAGATGGTGACCCGGTTCCTGACCGCCCCGAAATTGACGCTAGCTCTTCGTTGGCTTCCATCTCATTCGAGTTCTTTTGCACCTAAAAACTGACCTTTGTCTCGAAAGGCTGGTAGCTGCAGAGACGCGGACTGATGGTCGACTGATTTGCTCAAGCGGAAGACAGACGGAAAGAGGGTACCCGCTACCTTCCTCACCGGGCGACTTTTCACGAGCCCGACTGAGATTTTCACCTGGCGCCATGACTTCACCCGCCAATCCTTCCCACAACTCCATCCTGCCCAAACATCTTCAAAACAACGCAAAACGCATTGGAGAAACTTCAATTCCCACAGACGACAAAGCGGTGCCTGCCCTTTGGAGATCGATCAAGCCATGCAACGGTAGGCATCCAGCAGGCGGCCTTGCGCCTTCCTCATTCTAATGCGGACGTGTATAGGACGACCATGCATCCGCCGACCAAGAATCGTTCTTTGGGGGAGTATTGGGACACTGTCAACACCATACTCCTGAAGAGGGGCATACTTAGCATCCAGGACGCTACCGTGCCAGAGATTGTTTCATCACATGCCAACTCTAGCAGCAATGGCAACGAATCCCCAAACAGCGACGATAACGATATGTGGCGATCCCTGGATCAACTCATAGGGCCGTCTAACGAAGTATACCACATGGAAATCTTGCGCGACAAGCAATTCGGAGACGTCATCTTGAATATTGGTGGCGGTGCGGCTCAACCAGACGACGAACATTCAAGACGCGGGAACGAAGGAGACCGTGAGACTCAGCTGGACGGAACAGACATTGCCGACCCCTTGACGAAATTCACTATTACCAGCTCCGAACTGGACGAAGCTGAGGTTGCGGAGACTCCAGTCAAGGCCATCGTCATCAATTCCGACCTCGCCGCGATATGTTCCCCCGTATTCCGTGCCATGTTGCGGACAGACTTCGCCGAGTCAAAAGTCAACAACAGCCGGAAGAACTGGGTCGTGAACCTACCAGATGACTATGTCGAACCGCTGTTCTTCCTCTTGTCAATGATTCATGGCCGATGGGAGAACATACCGAAAAGGATTTCCATCGATGAGTTGCATGATCTTCTACTTACGGCAGACAAGTACGATATGATGCAAATCTTTCTGCCATGGTACTTTGACTGAACGCCCGACCATGTTTTCTTCGGGTGGCATTCATGGGATTGGTCTGCCATGTGTCTACCGCTCCAGGTGGATCTCCTCCTCTGGCTTGCTTGGGAAACTCGGATGAAGGAGCATTTCGAAACCATCATCTTTCAAATGAGCTACTGGCATCGCGTCAACGACAAAGGTGAGCTGTTGGGCCTGAATGGTCTGCCCTTGCAACTTCGAGGTACCTGGAACACCGACGAGATCATGAGTAAGTTTACCCTTGAACTCACCCGGCGTCTCTTTTTTGGCACATTCTGACCGAAGGTCCCAGAAACTATTTCCCAATGGAGGCAGAGAGGAGTCGATTACGTCCACCGCATCTTCCACGAGGACATTACACGTGCTATGCAGCACTCTGTGTGCGAGCGTGGAACGTGTAAGGTGAGCTGTGTTGAAACGATTGTTCACATCTACAATGCCGTAGGTATTGGCAGTGCTCCCATGCTGCGCGTTCACACCGGCAATTTAGCGGATCTGGTGAGAATAGTCATCGATGCCGATGACCGAATGATGTGGGGTTCATATTGCGACAATGTTGCCAACATCTCTAGGGATGTGACAGAATTTCAACTCGAAGTTGAAAACTATGTGCGGAGCCTCGTGACTCTGGCTGGAACGAACAACTACAGACCGTTTCGCCGCCGCGTGCCGCTGTCAGATGGGCGAATTGGGCGCGGATAGCGCAGCAGGGCTGCAATTAGGCGGGCTCGCCACCATCTGGCGCATTCGGTAGCCTCAATTGATACGAAGCCTTTAGGCCTGGGCGGAATCTGGAGGAGATGGCTGTTGGACTATTACTACGAAATCGACATGCAATCTGGAGGAGGAGTATTGTCAGGATGCTTTGGTAGCAAAGTTTTAGTCAATTTGCTGCAGTCCATAGTAGTGAATACTGATTGAGTGTATTCTGACATGGATCCAAAGTTATGTCCCTTAAGCAAACCTAAAGTTGTTGCCCAGATTTTCGCCAGACTCAGTTTCTGGACTAGGTGACCTACAGGCATTTTATTATTAACAAATGAGGCTATCCGTGTCACTCTGACTATGGTTTCTGTTTATCATTACTGAGCTACAAATAGTAGAAGGACAGCGGTGAACAAAACAAAGGCCACAACGACGACAACGGCGGCAGCCGTAATCCGAGTTACCTATACAAAGCATACCTAATCTGCAAACAAGGTAATCAAGATACCACAAGGGAAACCGGCGGTCTCTGACGAATTGATCATGTCAGGGGCTTTCTTGGTACGCAGACATTCGGTGTATGCGCCTTTAGTTGTGTGTGCCTCGCGTTGTCAAATGCGGCTTGGTTTTGCCCATTCAACAGCATGAGCAACGAGACATATACCTGAAGAAAGCTTTGTCTTAGACTACGCACAATATCGCCACCTCGAATCTCCTACCAGATAATCTGAAACTTGCTTTGGGTGTCACATGGCCTTGGCCATATCTTTTATTCTCGTGGGCCAGAAATTCTCCATCATATCGATCCATCTCCCGAACGCAGGGCTCGAAGGATCTTTCAAGCAGCGGAAGAACCAGTCGTCATGCTCACCTGCCTGTATTCGAAGCTTGCTCTGTATATGCCTCATGTCAGCCCACTTCGACAAATCTCACGTGGTATAAAGGTGGATGGACCTACCCACGACGACACGGGATCGATGAAGAACTGAAAGACTTGACGACGCTCGTCAGAGTACATGGTCAGCACAAGGTCCACAGGTTTGCCCTCTTTCAGGATCAAGATGAGAGCATCGCTGAGAGCCACAGCTTCCATCAGACAGTTGCTCAACCCCAGACCACCAATGACCTGATGTTCGAAGACAAGGCAATCAGCGTTATGTCTCCCGCAGAAAAAGAGTTGCTTACGTTGTTCACATGTGCAGCGTCCCCAGCCAAGAGGCATCGTCCGTGTCTCAGTTTGGAAGCCAAGCGCTGATGGATGGTGTAAGTTGCTGCTCTCTCAATGTTGTATGCGACTGGGCGTGGGCCGGCCCAAGCGCGGTCGTAGTGAAAGGATATGTATTCCTCCGACAGCAGCTCTTGTTCGGTCTTTTCAGTAAGCTCTTTTGGGTCGACGGCAAAGGTCAGCCTCCACTTTGTCACCTCGCCGATGACAGGTGGCGTAAGTGGGGTGATGATGGTGTAATATATCGGTTCCATCAGCAGAGTAGTTGTTGTAGGACTGTCTTCGGTATTCTTGAGCCAGACGTCAGTGGCGATGAGCTTCTCGGGCCAGGTGTGGCCTGGGAAGGATATGCCCAGCAGAGATCTCGTCCGCGACCGACCGCCATCCGACCCAACGAGAAAAGATGCTGTCTGGTCCTCGAGAAGCCCCGTCTGGACGTCCTTGACTGACACCACCACGTTTGAACCGGTCGAGCCGTCGTCCAAAATTGCAACTAATTCTTTGTTGAAGACCACCTGCACATACCCAGTCTCGAGAGCGCTTTGCATCAAGACCTTTGTGAGCTCGGGTTGGGCCATGTTGAGCATGCTGATTGCTGGTGGTCTGACAGGTGTGCCAAGAGGGTCATGGTTCGGGTCTTTGGGGAAAGACCCAACAATCTGGCCCGGAGCCTTTCGATCGTTCCCCTCTGGAGTTGGCGGAAGACGTATGTCAAGCCCGGTGGATCGAAAACCGCCGCCTTTGATGATGGCTTCCCATATTCCAGCGTCCGCCAGAGCGAACTGTGGTTGGGGATAGAACATACAAGCTCGAGGAAGCTGGGACAGGCCGCTCTCCTTCTCAAGGACGGTAACGCGAATCCCTGCTTGACCGAGACGCAAGGCAGCAAAGAGGCCAACAGGACCTGCGCCGATGACGAGGACCTCAGCACTGACTGGGAGAGAGCCCATGATGACGGGCAATAATGAAGTATTTTGGGTACGTGGACTGTATCAAAAATGGGTTAGAGGATGACCAAAGGAAGTGATGATCAAAGAAATTGTTCTTTCTTCTTTCCGATCATTTTATGACACTTTATATTGCTTTCTTCCCTCACAGACAACTGATTCTATCGGGCTCCATAACGCCGCGTTGCTTCTGCAGGGCAACACAGGGTGCAGTATCTACCATGATTGTGATACGACCGCGATGGTTTCCGTGATGAACCTTGCCTACGAAACGAGGTACCAGATTTGCATTATCATGGCTTGTCATGATGCGATACCGAACCGTGGCCGAACTCGTCAGTCCTGGGCATACGTAAGCGGGCGGCAGTCAGGATATTCGGGGTCTGCCTTAGTTCCGAGCTACTTATCAACGCACAACTTGGAAAAGCCTTTACTTGGACGGCAGGTGGGTCAGGAAGCGCGCCAAATAACGGGAGACTACGGGCTTAGCCGTCGTAAACATCTAGCGAGCAAACTCTATCTGGCACCACGCAGCTCTTTATCGCGGGTCGGCTCGAACAGTGCTGCTGTCCGGACCCCGGTTGTGTCCAGGGCCTTCATTAGACCAAGACCATTTGTCTCGTGGATCTACTAGGTTAATCGGTTTTTTACATGCCACTTAACCATGTTGAGTCAGTTTCGTCTGGGTTTGCCAAGTTCGGGCTCTATCTTCGGGACTGTTGCACGGCAAGTGATACCCTGGCACATGTCTTGAGCGCCTCAGTCACAGCCGAGAACTTGTGATGACTTTATCTCGGCATGCTAAGATAATCATCGAATGAAGAGAATTCTTAGACCCACTTGCATCGATTCTCTCGTGACATCGCAATAATTTCAATTGACAGTCGACACAACTTGGTCGCGATATAACCAAGCACTGCTGCTGCAAACAAGACAGAAAGAGCATTTCGACAAAAGCCGGACGAGTCAATAGTTGGGCAGACTACCTAAGTCGAAAAAGCATGAAAATTGGTTTTGCTGACTATCTCTAATTGAACCTGCAATTTGGTGACGAAAACACGTTGCTGCATTTAATCCCATACGACTGACACCTTTGGGATCACAACTTCAGGCCCAAGACCGGCCGCCTTTGCAGCAGCAAAGCAGCTCGCCGCAACAATAATCCAGCGCAGCAGTGTACCTCGGCCAGAAGCACTTCCCAGTCTGAATATCTTCCAAGCCCATGATCTCAAACCCAAGACCTGTCTTCCGTGACGATCGAAATCCGGCTTGACATCACCTAGCCACTGTGACATCCTCAGCTGCGACTCCAGGTAGGGCATGTATCGAACACGAAAGATCTTGTCCACCCAGTTGGGGGTCTCTGCAATTGTGCGGCGATGTGTGAAACAGTCAAACGACGCTTTCCCACGGTAAGAGCCAGAGCCAGAGTAACCTACGCCGCCGAAGGGGAGGGTGTGGACCGCGGCGTGCATGAAGGCGTCATTGAGTGTCGCCCCTCCAGAGGTAACACTGGACAGTACTATTCCCAGTATGTCAGTTCTATCCATTAATACCTTTTCTTAGTATGGGCACGATTGGTTACCTTTCTCATTTTCCGATGGACTGCCGAAGGTCATCAGAGCAAGTGGCGTAGAGTCGGTCTCATTTGCGATAGAAATCGCATCCTCGAGATTATCGTATGGCACGATCGCCCATATCGGACCAAAGGATTCCTCCTGAACCATAATATCATGGAGATCATCGACAAGAACGGCCGTTGGCTCGATGTAGAGGTCATTGCGGTCAGTGTCTCCCCCCAAAACCTTCTGTCCACGCGTGTTATCAAGCATGTTCTTCATCCTATCAAAGTGTTGGGCGTTGATGATGCGGCAAAAGTCTGGGCTCTCCTTGGCGCCTTTAGGGAAGAATTCGGCGTAGGATTCTCGTAGAAACTTGACAAAGTCCTTGATTAGTTCTCTTTCGATGAGAACGTAGTTGTGGGACACGCAGACTTGTCCGGCGTTCAGCGTCTTTCCCCACAAGAGCCTTCGCGCAGCAAGACGAAGGTCTGCATTGCTGGTGACGAATGCTGGATTCTTGCCGCCAAGCTCGAGGCACACGGGCGTAAGCGTCTCTGAAGCCTTCCTGGAGATGATCTTGGCAACGTTGACCCCGCCAGTATACAGAATCTTGTCCCATTTCTGGTCCAGGAGAGCAGTGGTCTCAGGCACGGCACCGTTCACGACCTTGTAAGAGTCAGTGTCCAGGTAGTCCTCGATGATACCCTTGAGAATCATGGCCGTTGCCGGGGCGTTCTCGGAAGGTTTCACAACAGCGGTGCAGCCGGCGGCTATCGCACCAATGAGGGGACAAATGTTCAGCTGCACCGGAAAGTTGTATGTTCCGATAATAAGAACCGTGCCCAGGGGTTGTTTTCGGATTCGCGGGCGAAGAAGCGAAAAGGGAAGGAACACGTCAATGTTCTTGTCGTCCTGTATCCACGTCGCCAAGTTCTGGATGGCGAACATGCAGTCCGAAATGCTCCAGTCAATGTCAGAAACGTGGGCGTCGTGGGGAGGGCGGTTGAGATCGTATTTGAGGGCCTCTCGAAGCTGACCAGTTCTGTCTTTGAGTCCCCAGTACAGCTTTCGAAGTTGGACAAGGCGGTATTCCACATTCTTTGTCTTGCCAGACTTGAAAGTGGCCTTGGCCGCGCGGACAGAAGCTGGTATGCTTGCCACAGGAGTCGATGCAAAAGGCGGAATCTTTGTCGATTCCATTATCTCTTTGTGCGCCATATCGAAAGTGTCTCAGTGGAGCTTTTCGTATGATATGCAAAGGAGAAGACGGCGGAGGACAGAAACGTGTGGTTACAATAGAACGGCTCGCTGCAATGCTTGCTCTAACAGTCGCTGGGGCGTCATTGGCAGTGGTTTACATACAGCTTCTCTTCATGGTATCTGGAGCAATCAATTTCTCCGCTACACGAAGCTGACAAATTCAGTGTCAATGTTTATTCAACTCAGAGGGCGCAAGACGAAATTTTGACCCTGTCGTTTGGCCATGTCGCTGCCCCCGGAGCTGTGGGGCTTGCTTGTAACCCTGTGAGAAAGCGGCCCTTGTGAGTCCCTCATTCAAGGTTGCTGAGAGCGACTATCCTCTTGTCTGTCTAAACAAGACGGGTGCCTGAGAAACGATGCCGTATTTCCTTGGCTGAAGCGACAGGATAATCGTGAAGTGGGTTGTGTCTTCGAAATAGTACGGCAGGGTGCCGATCGTGGGAACTGATTTCTGCGTGGGGGTGCAGCCCACTTGGGTAGGAGTGTTGAATGCATGCTCTATTAGTACCCAACCCTGGACTTTGGTTCCTGACAGCCGCATAAACTTTAAACAGTCGACATGATCGGTAGTCTTTCACGGCAAGTCTTGCATATGAAGATGATTGATAATCAAATGGCATGATCATCCAAAGGCATGGACTTTGGTTCAGGGTTGGGTTGAAACCTGGTGACTTCCTTGCGCCGGATCAACTGAGATTCTTTCCTACCACCAATTCTTGAAATCCAACTACTTTCCGGTTTAGATGTGCCTTCAATGGTAATGCGACCAAATTTTGTCGCTTCCAACAAGACAGAAATGACTGATAACCTAGCTATCTCTGATGATGGCAAACTCGAAGGGGACAGGCGGGCAACTCCTGAATGGAAGTGGGAAGATGACCCATCAAATCCATACAACTGGCCCTCGTGGAAAAAGAACGTACAGCTTGCAATGATCTCTATTGTAGGCTTTACTTGGTGGGTGAAGCAATTTTTGGTAACAAACTTCCTTTCGCCAACTGATTTTTCTAGTTCTGTTGGCACCTCGATTGTCAGCCCAGCTCGTTCACAGTTCATGGACGAATTTAATATCTCAGGCACGGCTGCCTTCCTGCCGCTTTCATTATATGTCCTTGCACTAGGACTTGGTCCCGTACTCGGCGGGCCCTTATCGGAATTGGCCGGTAGACAGGCTGTCCATATTATCGCCGTAGTCTTTGGCGGTCTTTTCGCCCTGGGCGCGGGATTCACAGAAACCTTTGCCGGGCTGTGCATACTCAGATTTTTGTCTGGGTTCTTCTACGGGCCTGTTTTGGCCGTAGGCTCTGGTGTCTTGAATGAAACGTACCTGCCTGTTGAGAGGGGGTTACCATCAACAATTTTTATCCTGAGTCCGTTTCTGGGACCTGGCCTCGGGTAAGACGCAGCAAAGCTCGCGAACTTGAGGGGTGCTGACATAGGTCGAAGGCCAGTTCTGGGGTCCTTCATGGTTGACAGGAAAGGTTGGCGCTGGACACAGTATACCATCGTGTTCTTCTCCGTATTTTCGGCAATGTGGCTTTTTGTCGCTGGCGAGTCGTATCATCCCGTCTTACTACGACGCCGTCGAAAGCAACTCGGCCTCGATGAACCCGAACCGATCCCCACCTCAACAATGATTCGGCAATTCCTCACTGTTAGTCTATTTCGACCCCTAAGGATGCTTTTCACAGAACCCATCGTGTCAATACTTTCTTTGTATGTGGCATGCATGTTCGGAACACTGTTTATGTTCTTCGGGGCTTTCTTCTACGTTTTCGGGGCGACACATAACTTCAGTCTCACAGAGTCAGGTCTAGTCTTCTTGGCCATTGCATTCGGGTGTGTTCTTGGCTGTGTAACCTTGGTCCTCTGCGACCGATATCTCTACCAGCCTAAAGCTCGAAGCTTTCCGCCAGGCGAGATACCACCAGAGCTTCGACTTTACCCTGCTATGATGGGATCTTTGGGTCTGCCTCTGAGCTTGTTTTGGTTTGGATGGACGGCTCGCTCAGATGTGCATGTTGCCGTACCGATCGTGGCAGTTGCAGTCTTTGGCTGGGGCAACATCTCATTGACCGTCAGCTCAATTCAATATCTTGGAGACACATATCATCGAACCAATGTCGCAAGTGCAGCGAGTGCTAATAGCCTGGCAAGGTATACCCTTGCTGCCGCCTTCCCGTTCTTTTCTCTCCAAAGTGAGTACTCACTTACTTCTTCATTCCCATTGAAGACCCCCCACTGATACATGTATCATGTAGTGTACCAGAGCCTCGGCATAGGTTGGGCCACGAGCCTTCTAGGATTCGTTGCACTCATTTTACTTCCCGGGCCATGGGCATTCTTCAAGTATGGCCAAAACATTCGCCGCCGAAGCAAGTATGAAACTGCCAATTATTAGAAAGCTTTTGCTGTCTGGGAGGACAACTGGGTCAAACAGCTGTCGTCCTGTTTAATAGCTTCATCCTTTCTTTCTATAATATGTAAAGTCCTGTGGATAATATTCTCTTCGTTATCGTCCCCGTCCCTGTCATCTCTATCTCTATCGCTCCTATTAGCGTCATTACTATTGCGATTGGCATTGTCGTTGTCGCCGTTGCATTGTCGTTCTCGTTCTTGTTCTCCGTGTCGTCCTCATCGTTGTCTGTGCCCACCTCCCGCCGGGATAGCACGTCTATGTTAGAAAGTAACTTTAATTCACTTGATTCTTCGTTCCAATGTCTTTCAAAAAGGCTGCAGAAGTCCGAAATCTTTGGTCTTAAGACCAGCATGGCTCTGAAAGCGGCAGCCCTACACTCTGTATAAGTAATTTGCCGGAGATCACCAGGGGAATTATGCGACAAGAAAAGTTGATATTCCCACAGGTCGCCTTAAGATATCAGTTAAATACATTTGATGTTGTGAAGCCAGCAGAAGTCTATGCTGCACGTGGTCAATACAAGCCTTTGTATCCCACCAAAACCTATGGCTGATATATTTCTAGAACCGGCATCCAGAGATAACGGTAACCCCCACTCCTCTGTCCCTCAGAAAAATGCTAGATGGAGTGCGTGCTCAACCCAAGCTCCGACAAAGTCTCGTCCCACAGACGGTTCATTTTCTTTTGACCAGCTTCAGTGTACATGAGCTTAGGATAACTGTGGTTGTGTTAATAAGACATATGAGAAACTTTTGCGCGAAGTCTCGCGGAGCAGGGACTTACGGCCTGATGACAAAGTCGGTAAAGGAACCGTGTGACTCTTTTCCCAGGACCACTGCCGAATGAAGATACTGCCTGGCGCTATCAACTACTTCTCGCCCAATCACGCGATCCATAACGAACGGGACGATCTTCCAGACACCCGATGCCTCGCGGTTAAGACCGGTGCCTTTGGTAGCGCCGGGGTTGAGGTAGTTGATAGTGACCTCGTCTGCTGTGACGGTCTGCGATAGCTTGGCGACTCCCATGACCAAAAGCAATTTGGTCTTCCCGTAGTGCTGCATTCCGTTGTATCCCTCCTTGTTATCGAGTGCAACGAGGAGAGATCCAGATGTCTCCGGCAGTGCAGCCCAGTAGGACATGTCGGAGCCGACGACGGTCAAGCGATTGGGCCGACCTTGAGCCTTGGCCTTTAGGACCGGGACCATAAGGATGGCGAGAAGCATGGTGTTGATGTAGTTGACTTGGAGAGTCACTTCGCGGCCCTTGCCTTCGTTGCTCTTCTGGAACGTCATCTTGCCGACACCAGCATTGAGAATGAGAAAGTCGATCCGCTCAAGAGACTCGCAGCGGCGAGCGAAGCTTCGCACTGATGCATCGGATTCCATATCTAGCAGCCAGACTTGGATGTCGGCTGCAGGAAAGTGGCGTGCAAGTAGCTCCGCCGCGTTGTCGCCCTTCCTCTGTGAACGGACCGCCAGTATGAGGTGAGTAAGGCCTTTTTGAAGAAATTGTCGGGATGCTTCAAGGCCAATACCAGCATTGGAGCCAGTAACAATGCCCGTCTGGCCTTGAAGGTTGATCGCTTCTGGGATGGGGGGTACGGAGGCGAATACAGCTTTGCGGAAAGACGTCAAAAGGCTCGTCTCTGATGCGACTCGGTCTTGCATTTGCGCGGACATGACGACTATAATTCAAGAAGAACAAATAAATACAATACAGCAACAGTTGTGTATTGGGATGAGAATTCTTGGTTGATGTGGAGAATGACGAAGTTTGCTGCTGGTGGTGACGGTGATGGGGAGAATGTTGCTAATAAGATGTCTTCTTCTGAGACATCTTTCCACATGAGCGCTCGCGCCCCTTTTATATTTTGCAATGCTTCTTTTGATAAATTTTCAAGGACACGAATAGATACCACCAGGAACTTTTCTCATCCATCTCGTTCGTCCCCGGCTTCAGAGCTCGAGATCGCTGAGCAATGTTCAGGCGACGATTCGGAACTTTTTCCCCTACGCTGATTCGTCAAAGTTAAGCTATGCAGATCCCAGAGTCCAGTGGACCTTTTTCGTCGTGAGACAGAACTTTTTTTTACAATGTCATTGGACAGGCTCTCAGTTAGTTCCTGTGGCGCTGACATGGGTGTTCATTCTGAAATTCGTTAGCTTGGATCCTTCGCTGCGCCCCATGCCAGGCATCCAAGCCTGTCAGCTATGGACGAATGGTGTCCTCTGGAAAGGTTCCCTGACGCACCTGAATCCCTTATCTCGCCCATGGCCTCTGTGACGGAGGCACGATCCGAGGCTGCGATACCCGCATGATCACGATGTCCGCACCGGCTTTAATGGCTGCAGGTCAGCGACCGTTGCTCCCAAGAATGCCCCAGTCAGATTCTCCAATGCGCCCAGCTTCGGCATGCGCCGCATTACCGATACAACACGATGAAAGAGAGTGGACGGCCGTGTACCCAATTATTGAGCGCATATACGTCAGGGAGCGTAGAAGCCTCAAGTATCTAATGAGAGCGATGGAGGAGGATTACAACTTCAAAGCCACGTAAGTTGCGCGTACACATGTTGCGGACACTGTCTTCTTCGAGGCCCTCGTCAGACGCCTGCGACCGTTGTGTTGCTCCTGGCATCGAAGAGACCCCATGTGAGCTGACAAGTGTCCAACAAAAAGAGTGCAAATGTACAAAAAACGCTTCACCAAATGGGGATTCCAGAAGAATGTTCGTCGGGACCGGCGAGGCAAGGATGTCGGTCCTCAATTGACGCGAGATTCTGGGCTGCCATCAACGGCACTGATCAAGGCTGCTACAGTCACGAGGGCCCCTCGCATCCTTCATCTCAGTACCTCTGATGCGGCCCAACTAGCGTTTCTTTCGAGTATCAGAAACTGGACTGTTTCCTTTTTTGACAGGGCTGAACTTGGCACGGTGGGATATTCGCTGCCATCACCGCCGGGGTTGACAAGTCCATCGCCCGAGTCGTCAATAAAGCCTCCGCCGCGCGATCTAAACAACCCCGAGCAGCTGAGCTTTGCTTTCAAACTTATACTGGGCCTTCTTGATCGCGATCAGGGTGTCTTGGCCGGTCGTCTAGCTCGCAAGGCGTTTCTCCAGGCAGAAACTCTACTTGACGCAGAAGGGCCCCTCTTCATTTGGAATACCCTCGAGATCTTCCACAATATCGCCCTCCTTCGCCAGGCAAATCTCGGCCACATACTTTTGCACCATCTCATAAGTCTTGCTGGCAGTAGACCGGTATCAAAGGTACTGCTTCGACTGCAAGACCTGCTGCAGGCATGGCAGCATGACGGCGTTCCTGTCCGGCCGGAAGCGCTCGAGCGAGCGTGGTCGATAAACGCGGATCTGACGTTCTCTCGCTTCGATCCTGATTACCTGTTGCTCTACTACCAGCTCGTCTGGGATTCGGATATTGTCAAACTTGATCCCGAGATCGCGCGTCATTCGGACAAATGGTTCGCCAAAATCCACGACAAGATCAACAAAACGTTTCTCCATGATGACGTCGACGTAGCAACTGGCAAGCTCTGGCCGAAGCATGAACTGACATTCAACGGCATTGGTATCCATGGCGATGGAACTTCACAGCCTGCTAACTTCAACCAATTGAAGCAAGAAAGTCTTACAGGGGTCACTCAGATGCTCGACGAGGTCCCCGCCGACTCGGCAATGAGGGTGCGTGTCCTCTCAGCTTGGTTGAAGAGTCAAGTGCTTCAAGACGACGCCGCAATGCCGGTCCATCCCGGCATGGATATCCCACGCTTACAAGCCCGTATCATGGCTTATATCATCAGAATCATCATGGACTTCGAGACTCAAGGGAGGGAAGATGTAGACTCTGCAGCTGACAGGATGAGAACCATCTTGGCTCTCAGAGAGTATGGCCAAGGCCGACTGGGATCTCAGATTGTCTATGAGATGTGGCAACTTGAGGACTTGCTTGTCCGCGACGGTCGGGTCGAGGAAGCGGCAGAGCTGCGCGCAGAGTCATACAGACGTCTTGAAGAATTTCTGGCCGACATTCCAGAGGAACCCCACGGATAAAAGCTGGAAAAGTTAAAAATTGTCTTTAAAAAGCTTCTAACGATCTCTGCTATTGGATTCTATATGAAGTGGTGGATTTAGGTTCTTATGAGGAGTCGTTCTCGAACCAGAGAGGTCTCGTGTCTCGGCTTCAGGGAGCGTGGGGGCGTTTATATCATGGATTCGGAATCAAATGTATTGTTTTCATGAAAAACGGCTAGAACGTTACAAACACGAGACTTGGTCTAAGAGCTACGCGTAGAGATAAATCAAACAAAATACTTCTAGACTGTACGAGCAACTGGTATTCCGTTCTGCATGATCCGTTCCATTCAGTACTCCAGCGCCTTAAACCTGTGACCTGGCAGGTAAGTTCTTTTCATGTTGAATTTTCACTTTCACAAGTCCTTGGAAGTTCTTCAATACTACTTGTATCTCGCTTCACCATACCACTTGACCTTGATACAAACTTATTTGTACGCAAACACAATCTTGTTGAGGGTTTTGCCGTGTGTAACGGTTCTTCCTCGCCTAGTGGTCAACCCAAGCTCTGGGCCCGCATCGACGGGCGCGCTTGAAAGCAGTAGAGCTTTCCCATGATGTCGCACAATTCTGAGTTGTGAAAGTTTCAATGAGATTTGCGGGAGTTGGTTGTGCATGCATGCATGTGAGTCATTTGTTGGAGAAAGGGGCGATTTGGAGTTCAACTTGCGAGACGCAGCCCAGATATCAACGTGACTCTGGCCTCCCATCGTTGAGAGAACTCCCCTCACCTTTGACATTATCGGGCTGTTTAGCTAGAATTACTAAGCGGGGAATGCTGGTTGCGCCAAACCTCTTTGTTTGGCGAGTTTATTTGGTTGGCTTCGTTGAAGCATCTTGCATCACAGCTACATGTCGAAATTCAATTGGCCTCTGGGTCACACTGCATCCCTTAGTTATGATAACCCGGATCAGCTCCATTCTCAGGGGTCTTTTATTGCATTCAATAGTCTAGTGTTCCTCTGCGCAATAAAGGTGTTAAATTCCACCCGTCTTCAATCGGAATCCCAATTCAACCTACGGTATTTGACCCAAAGAATGAATGACACAGTTGATGCCATCGCGACGTAAAGCCTAAGTTGATAAGTTTACATGATACGTAAAACTGAAGGTGACATGATAGAGGAACTATGTATTGAATCTTGTAGTTTAGGGTAGACAAATCCCGCTCTTATGGAATACGCGCGACTGTGTTTCTTGCATAGGGGCCTACTGCTTTTCGCGTTGATGACGCTCTACTGAACAAAGTAGTCCTGAAACACGCCGTGTTGCTATTGATTTCTCAGCCTCGTCACAGTCTGGCCATATGACGGAAGCCCCCACTGCCGTGGATTTATATCACCCTATCTGTATTGGCAGAGCTGAGTGCTACTCTTGACAGCGCTATGGTAAACGCTTGGAATGCGTCTGACGTTATCTAAGCCCTATTTCCCTAGTACAGCTTCTGCAGCAGGTCGCTATTACCGAGGGACTGAGGGAGATGGAATTTTTCCATTAGTTATTGAGTAAATCAAGATTGAGGCATCTTTTCATCGGTGCTATAGGTTTTTCATATCCTGATAGGAATAAAAACTATCGAGAGTTTGGGATCATACATGTTTTGATGGCAAACCTCGTCCGATTATCTAAATCTTTGCTTGGTAGGTTTAAAATGTCACTTTGTAGGCCCCTCGATGCCTCATAGTTGCCACTTCCATAGACGAAAGCTTCTGCGACTTGTGACAGCTTAACCAAACCATTCATGTCTCCCCATAACGTCTTTGTATTTAAGATCAAACGTTCGGAATGAACGGCACAGCAACATACGAGTCATACATTCCTCCAAAATGAATGTGGTGCTTCCCCTTGTTTATGCCAAAGATAGTGCTCTTCTGGAGATTTGGAATCTCCCAGTACGCATCCTTGCTCCCGCGCACGCGTAGCATGAGCCCCTCCCCCTCATAGAGCTTGAGCCCAATCGGCCAGATTCCAATCTCGACGGGAACGATCTCACCCGGCTGGACTTTTTCAATCTTCTCGTGAGGGTGGTAGGGCATAATGGAATCCTGTTTCGACCGATCCACGGCTCGGTGGGACACGCGAAGTAGGCCGTGAGGTCCGGTGCTCTGTAATCAAAGTCAGTAGCCGTGAAGCGCTTGAAGTGAAAAGAGATGACTAACCTTAATAACATTGGTGCTGACTACATCATCGTGAGTGCTGTCGTTCCGTGGGATTGCGGACCATGGAATGTTGATATGGTCGAGCACTCTTCCCGACTTACTGACCTTTCTCAGACTGAGATGGATGTCCATATCGTCTGTGTCATCACAGGAAAGCCACAGCTTGGCCTTAGAGAATCCCATCAAAGTGGTTGTAGTGTTGAAGGTATAGACAAGCTCTACTGCAGAGCTGCGATCGTCCGACTGGTACGACGTGATACCGCTTGCTGGAGGGTGGTAGAGAGATAGGTTATCCTTTGTTAAATAGAGCTTCTTATACTCAGTCTTTGCGTGTGGATAACTTCCCATGGGGAAATGTTCAATGGGTTGCTATCTCTGTTAGCGTTGTTATCAGAGTAAAAGCTCAGGTACACTCACCGGTCCAAAACGATCTCCGCAAGTCAAGATAGATACGCGAACGGGGTCCGTCTTTTCCCAATCGTTCTCAACCCCCTTGAGATATCGATCGAAGAAGGCTTGCAGCTCATCGGTCATATCCTTTCGATAAATATCAAACCACTCCTGGGTAGCATGGATCCGTAGCCACTTCTTCTTACTTTTAGCTTTCCGGAAGCCCTGGATTGTGCCATAACCGTGGATTCCCGAGCTATAGCTAGTAACAGCATAGATTGGGATCGTGATTTTCTCCGTCTTGATCACCTTGTCCTCCCAGTAGGGGTTTATTAAAGGCCACTTCTGTGCTGCTGCGAAGATATCTTCTCGCTTACTTCGGCCGCGAAACGTCCCGTTATATATCAGGTTGAGGAACGTCGCGTCAGCAATACCACCTCTACAGGCGACTTCGCGATACTTATCCGTGAAGCCCTCCCACGGTGCGATAGCTTTAAGGGCGGGGGGCGCCACCACCGCAGTACTCCATTGCACTGCCGCGAGCCAGGAGTTGCCCTGCATGCCGATGGAGCCAGAGCACCAAGGCAGGGCAGCAACGTGTTCAACAATCTCAGCAGCGTCTCGTCCTTGGAAGACGTTAGGAAGGTCTGTGCGGAGGGATCAGAGGTGCCTCACCAGCCGCCATTCCCTCAATATAGAGGTCTCCCTCAGAATCCCAAGATCCACGGATATCGACATTAACAACGGCGTAACCTCGAGAAACCCACTCTGCCGGGTCAACGCTGGACATGAACAGTTAACCCTTATTCACGCATTCCGCGTACAGGGGTAGAGGATGGACTCACGACTCAAACTTTTCCAGGCCCGAAAGCATCTCTTCTTGTACCCCGACTCTGTACGGTAGAAGCTCGTAGTTGAGAAACCCGTTAATACCTCCTTTGCCGTAAGGACTCAGAGCAAGAAGAGCAGGAACCTTCTCCACCGTGTTCGGGCGACAGATTCCGTAGTAAATCTAGACCGTTAGCTCCCCTCCTCTTGATATCCTGCTCATGGCGGACGGACCTTGACGCCATCCGAGTGTCTCATCTCTTCATTAACCTCGTATATGAGCTCGCTAGGAAGGGGTCGGCTCCGAAGGGTTTTTTGCCAGCCCTTAGGCAGGAGCTCTTTCTTCTTCTCCTTGAAGGAGTATGGGAAGCAGTTCTCCTCATTCTCCGGGCGGATCGTATCGCACAACGGAACGTCGCAACCTTCAATGATCATGTTGAATACCTTCAGTAAATCTGTCCAGAGTGATTTTTCATAATACTACCTGGGGGAATTGGTAGCTACTTCTACCCCAAAGCTTTGCGACGGCCCTCTGTCTAAGAACATGACGGTCGCAGGTAATTACCCGAAAGCCGGTCAGCGGAATCGAGGCAAGCGCTCGGAGTCTTCTCCGTGCCCGGGGGCAGTCCATCCAATCGCGTGGTGACGCACTTCATGTGTATCGAACTCTACTTCCGTGGCACGGAAGCCAGATCCTCAACGGAGAGGATATTTGCATCCCGTTCCGTCTCAAGTCGTTCGGCAGGACGGGATTTCGAAGTGTCCGCCTGGTCCCCCGCAAGACTGTGATCGGATGAGTCTTCAGATGATACTGCATAGACAAGCTCTGCTTCTAAAAGGTGGCCACACGTCGATGAGTAGTTGGTAATGAAAGGGCGTTGCTGAAATACTCACACTGCTGAGAGTTACACACCAAAGCGTCTTTCTTATCATCCGTCAACCCCATACGTCAACTCGACTGGATCGACATGCATCATTTAAAGCCCTCACAGTGGCAAGAGCTCCCTTCAAAAGTATGGTCTGAAATGGACAAGGCAAGCTGGCCGCCCTGCGACACCAACTTCGATAACGCCGGCCCTGCCCTCCCAGGCTTCAACAGGCCAACCCGCTACGAGGGAAAGGTCAGCAATCTCGAAGTGTACGGAACAGTCCCTCCGTCGATTTCGGGCACGTTTTATCGTATCATGCCTGAGCCTTATCACGTTCCCTTTGTCAAAAACGATATTGTAGGTTTGCCCGTACCAGTCCTTATTTGTATCAAATGCTAAACTGGTCTCTAAAGTGGCTCAATGGTGACGGTGCAATCTCCTCTTTTCGCATCAAAAACGGCAATGTCGATTTTAAGCAGCGATTAATTAAGACTGAAAAGTTTCGAGTTGAGACCAATGAGAATCGTGCGCTCATCGGTAAAGCAATCACAGAACCAGAGTTTTCCAAAACCTTGAGCAAATCGTACTAACAAAGACGTCAGGCAAGTACCGCAATCCTTTCACTGACCTGGTCAAGTTCGCCGACCGCACGACGGCCAACACGACGGCGTTCCCCTTCAAAGGCGTCATCCTTGCGTTGAAAGAAGACAGTCAGCCTTATGCCGTTGATCCTCGCACCCTCGAAACAATTGGCAGGTGGGACTTTGACGGGCAGTTGGAAAGCGAGACTTTTACTGCGCATCCGAAGTATGACGTCAAGACGAGAGAGGTCCTGTCTTTCGGCTACGAGGGGAAGGGAATTGGAACCAGGGATGTATTTTACATGTCGATTGATGAACACGGCAAATTTAACGAAAAGGTGTGGTTTCAGGCGCCATTCTGCGGATTCCAGCACGAGATGGCTTTTACTGATAACTGGGTGAGTTTATGTTAGCCGTGTAGTTGTACTGGTTAATTCTTTCTAGGTCATCTTTCCACTTGTTCCCATGGAATGCTTCATGGACAAGCTCAAACAGGGAGGCAACCACTGGACATGGACCAATCGACCGCACTACATAGGGCTTCTCCCACGAAGAGGAGCCAAGTCCTCGGATATCAAGGTTTGGAACGATTTCTCCTTCATCTGGCACAAATCTTTAACGTGGCATAGTGGTTCCAAGGGCCGAACCTGTTCACCGGCCACGTCGCTAACGCGTGGGAGGAGAATGGGCAACTCCACCTTCACGTGTCTATGGTCAGGGGCAACGGGTTCGGATTCTTCCCAGAACAGAACGGCGAGGCTACCGCCTTTGATCTGGAAGTGCTTGCGCCTCATGTCTGCGAATTCGTTCTGGATCCTCACTCCACGAAGCTGGTGTACCAATCACCAACGGAAGTCGTGACAGCCGGGCCAAACGAATTCCCGCGCATCGACGATCGCGTTTTTGGCAAGAAGCACCGCTTCATATACGGGAACATGATTGACATGAGCCCTGGAGTGACGGACTGGGAGTACTCTACACCCCTGGCTGACGGTACGTTTTCAAAAGTTTCAAGCCATGCCAGAGTCATTACACTAACAGCTCGATAAGATGGTATCGGCCACATGAACGTTCTCTACAAATACGACCTCGTAACCGGTGCTACACAGAAATACATCAGAGGGCCTCGCCACTTCTTCCAGGAGCCTCAGTTCGTCCCCCGACATCCAGGGGCCGCGGAGGGTGGCGGTTTCCTGATTGCGTTGGTCAACAATTTTAACGAGATGACTAGTGAGCTTGTCATTATTGACTGCGACGACTTTGAGAAGCATGCTGTTATTGCAAAGCTTCCCGTCAGGTTGAGGCCTGGGTTTCATGGCAACTGGGTTGATGACACGGATATTGACGGTCGGCCAAACACAGTAGCTGAGTTTGCTATTCCTCATCGCAGGGATGAAAACAATGAGACGAATGAGACGGATGGACAATGATGCTAGAGCTGGAATCTCTGGTCTTGTACGAGTGTTTTGGGAGGAGGTGAATAGGATACTCACAGGGAGAATCTTATGGCTCAACTGTTTGCGTAATATATGTCAAATCGGTAGCTCAGTATCTATGCAACTCTTGCTCATGAAGTCTAGTGTAAATGCTCAGGATTCAACCGTATCTCGTTGCTACCAACATCTTTCAAGGCATAAATGCTGTATTCTGTTCAGTTTCATGATACACTCATACAAAAACCGGAATATGGCCGTCTAAGCCATCCTACCCGCAACCAGACCATTTTGATGGCCAAAAACATCTCAGAAATAGCAGGCAAGGTGTGAGGATCACTTTCTGGCCTAATCTAGTGAGGCATTGCAACAAAGCCCCCGGAACGGAGTCAGTCTCCAAACTTGCCTGATCCCCGGGATCCGGAATTACGTCAAGGTTCAGAGAGAGCCATCGAAAACTTGCCTACATTATGCTATGTGCTTCAGAGTCAGGATTCAAAATAATTGCCCAATCATATACACTGGGACTTAAGCAATCATTGACTTACGACAAACAAACTATACATCGTTGTGAACTTTTCAAACAACAATATGGAATTGAACACATACACATACAAGCATCTTCAAGGTGCGGATCCGATCGAAGCTAACGTTTACTTCAAGCACGGCGACTCGAGCAGCACGAAGCCTATTGGTACGTACGATGAGCAATGATGCTTTCGACGATGACAAACTGACAAACTGGCAGCCATCTATTACCACGGCGGCAATTTTGTAGTCGGTGACAAGGGCATGATCAGCCCTCAGTACATCAAAGTGCTTCTCGACCTGGGCTTCGGCGCAGTGGTATCTCCCAACTATCGGCTCTCTCCGACAATCTCAGCATACGACGGAGCAATCGCAGACTCCAAAGACGCCTTCTCATGGGTGCAGAACGACTTGCCAGTCAAGCTAGCCAATGACGCCGGCATTATGCTGGATGGCGAGCGAGTCGTGGCTTGGGGTCATTCTGCGGGAGGAACGCTTGCTCTTCTTATGGTATGTGGTTTGGTCCTGTTTTTCAACATCGTCCGGTAACTATGACAGGGTGGAGCCGGCTGGTTCGTTCTCGCCGTCCTTCCCGCCGACTTTCTTTGGGCATGGAGGGGCTGATTCGGCGGTGGATGTCAAATTGGCGAAGAGGGCGCACAACGCTCTGAAAGCGGACGGGGTAGATACGCAGCTGGTGGTTATTGAAGGTGCGGACTATGGTTTTGACATCGGAAAGATGCCCGGGGATCCAGTATATGAGGCTGTGATTAACGGGTTGAAGTTCCTACGAGCATACGTATAACTCAGGGCACACCTGGCTTGGCTTGAGCCATCTATTCTTCAATGAGGAAATCGACTGAGCTTTTCTCTGATGCAATCAATATTCTGCATGCCGTTATAATAAGATGTGGGCTTACGGCAATCTCCTGGCCCCAGCTTCTCGCCGAGCTAAAAGCTCCCATCAAGCCCGGGGGACATGAACAAAACTCTATTCACGAACGGACAGAGTTATTATTCTTAAGTAGGATCATCCCCCCCACCCGCCTCGGCCATCTGCTTATATCTACCTACCCTCAAACATTTTCCAAAACTGTTTGCCAATAAGACCCGACGACACGTTCTGAACCACTCCAAACTTCATGGCCAACCTCAACGTAACCGGGGGGTCCGAGATGTACACCGCCGCAGATGCGTTCTTCGAAGCATTATGGGACGCAGGTGTAACGCACTGTTTCTGCAACTTTGGCTCTGATCATCCTGGCGTGCTAGAAGCAATGGTGAAGGGCCAGAGAGAACGCAGAGACGCCTTTCCCAGGATAATCACATGCCCAAGCGAGGCACGTATTCCCCAGCCCCAGCAACCTGAATCACTGGGAATACTTATGTTTGTGGTAGATGGTTGCCATGTCAATGGCCGAGTACCTCTCTTAATCTTCGCTGGCCTATCTCCCTTCACTATCGAAGGAGAACTGGATGGGTCTCGCAATGAGTATATTCAGTGGCTCCAGGACGTTCACAATCAGAGGGCGATTGTCGAACAATATTGTAGGTACACCGGCGAGGTCCGGTCTGGTCTACATATCAAGGTAGGGAGAGCGTCTCGCTTCTGCTACATGAGTTGATTAGAACTAAAAATGCGATAGCAAATGATCAATCGAGCTCTCAGCTTCGCCGCGAGTGACCCAAAAGGCCCTGTCTACTTGTGTGCAGCCAGGGAAGTTCTCGACGCCAAGATACAGCCGTATTCCATCGATCAAAAACATTGGTCTTCCGTGGAACTAAATGCACTCAGCCTGGGAGCAGTCGAGTTAATTGCCAACTCTCTTGTCCATGCCAGAGAGCCTCTTGTTGTCACGGGATACAGCGGCAGAGACACTCGTGTCCCGGATGAGCTCGTAAAACTTGTGACGGCTGTTCCAGGGCTTCGAGTCTTTGACGCAGGAGTGAGTGAGATGTGTTTTCCAGGTATTCTGTCCATGTTTCCCTTTGGAGTAGTAGAGTAGCTGATACGTTTTTCGATCAGCGAACCACGTCAGCTGGCTCGGCTGTGGTTACGCCGGAGACGACAGCATCAGGACTGCCGATGTCATTCTCGTCCTTGACTGCGATGTTCCATGGATCCCGACTAGATGCAAGCCAAGAACGGATGCCTGTGTCATTCACGTCGATGTTGATCCACTGAAACACAACATGCCAGTCTTTTACATCAACGCTCAGCATCGATACCAGGCCAACGCATTCGTGGCCGTCACTCAGATCAACGACTACATTGCTTCCAATGATGAAATACTATCCGTCATCGCTTCGCCTCTCTACGCCATGCGCCTGTTGGGCTTACAAGAAGCCCACGCCAACCGCATGATAAGGATCGCTGGTGAGGCAAAGCCTTCACCTGAAGGCTTTTTCGGCACCCCGAATTTGATGGACCAGCTGCGAAAGGCCGTTCCAAAGAATACAATCTTCGTCGTCGAAGCAATCACCAACACCCAGTCGGTCGCAGAGCAGCTTCGATTGACAACTCCTGGCTCCTGGTTCAATAGTGGCGGAGGTGGTCTTGGTTAGAGTGGAGGAGCGGTAAGTACACAGTGTAGATTCAGATTGCTCATTTAAACATCCAGCTAATACTCAGCTTAACCAAAAAAAAAGGCTCTCGGCGTGAAAATGGCCTCAGACTTTACAGGGTCGAGACAGTTCGTCTGTCAGGTCGTAGGCGACGGTTCCTATATGTTCTCCTTTCCGGCATCCGTCTACTGGATCGCACAGCGCTACAAGATCCCGATTCTCACAATCGTTTTGAACAACAATGAATGGAACGCCCCAAGGAACTCCCTGCTCTACATCAGACCGGGAGCTTCAGCTCTCAAAGTTTCTAGAGAAGAACTTAACATCAGTTTCTCACCAACGCCGGACTACGCGGGGATCGCTGCCGCAGCTGGACGCGGAGAGGTCGGCTGCTTCAGATCTTTCAAAGCTGATGATTTAGCGGAGACGTTGCGCAAAGCTGTTCAGTGTGTCTTAGAAGGACACAGTGCTGTGTTTGAGGCACAGTTAGACGGTCCAGAGGGCAAACACATGGGATAGCAATTAGTCTTCGACTAGGCAATATTGGGTATATCCAGGAAAGGCCTCACACTTCCCCGTTCATCAGGTTGGACTTCAGCGACAGATTTTGAATCAAGAAAGCTCACAAGCTCTCCATACTCACTCATCATCTTCAAGAGACAATAAATAATTTTGCCATTGAACTAGCTTGTACACCCAACAAGTAAACATGTGTAAGGATACTGTTTTGCATCAGGTATCCAGCGATAGTGCCGACGACATCTCGCCTTGATTTGACGCTACAGTCTGGCCAACTCATGATATAGACATTCTTGGTGTTGCAAGTGATTCGCGATACAAGAAGCGAGATCAAAGACGCAAACGGTGAGAGACAGACTGAGGCATACTGAAGACGGTGTCAACTAGGCCACCCACCCGAAATGCAACGGCATCAAAATCCAGACGGAAATCACACCCGTCGGAAACTACTGTGAACTAGCCAAATAAAGCCAAGGAACCACAGGTCGGATCCAAGGAGCAAACATCCCGGGAGCACCGCAAAGTGTCGTTTGGGCTCAAGTTTTCGTCTGATTCTCGACGCCGCGGAAAGTCGGCATTGAACCTTCACGGAAGGCTTCCTGTAGTCAGTGGTTCCCGGGGATCTTCGCTCAGAGGTTAATTTCTACTTTAAGATCGAAAGCCCTAACATCAATGTCCCCGGGAAGTCTGTTGCATTCCACTTTGCCACCTGTTCCGTGGCATTTGGGACCACCTGCACTGCGGCGACGGACATCCCAATGCCGATGTTGCCATTGAAGTGACAGTTTGTCTGTCTCATAGCTCCCAGCGCGGCTATGGCGCCGGCGATGGTGGTTTCAGCGAGGACAAAGGTTTGTACCTTTCTGGAGCCGCGCCCAAGAGGAAACGAAAGACTGCGGTGTGTACTGCGGGGGCCGCATTTCAAGGTGGCAATCTGTCAGCTCAGACAGTTTGGGAGAAGGATTGGGGAAAGGTTGCCGCACTTGTGCCAGGGAAGAACTGGTCCATTATCTCCATGATCACGGACTTTTCGGCTCCACGATCGATTTCGAATCTGATTTCCATCCTCTTTTCAAAATACCCCGACTCAAAAAGAACCCAATTAGAGGATCTAGAGCTTCTTTCTTTCCGGTTTTGTTGTTCTGCAAGTCAAAGATGTTAATACACCTGTTTCTAAAGGCTTTAACAACAATGCCAAGTTCAAGAGTCGTTAATCAGACTCAAGCACGTCGGCATGCCTCGAGACCGACCACCAGTGGGTCATAGACAGATAGAAGCGACGGCAAGTCTCAGAGATTTGAGCATGTCTATGACTTGTTCTTTTTCACTGCTCTGGCAAGATCGCGGAAGAGTCTGGATACTGCGTCGACGCGGTGCTGGGCGCAGCACATGGAGCACTAGATGAGGATGTCAATCTTGAGCAGACTGATTGAAGAAGCACAGGGTGCTCAACAATGATACCAGGGGCAACGTTTCGGATACTGCCAGCGTCTACGTCTTTGAGCTGACGTATAAGATCGACGAGGAGCTGGAAGTCGTAGGGAGCAGCATCTGGTGTAACATTGATGTCGGTGAAAATGGAGTTGAAATTCTTGGCCTCGATTGCGATCTTATTGGCATAGGTTTTGCCTTTAAATCTGCGTTTTTTCCGAATTACTTCACTTTGACGATGAATTGACGATGGCGTTCGTTCCTTGGTCTCGCAAGCATAACTTGACCATTCAAACACCCCGTTGTCGAAGCCATTCCAACGCGTTGAAGGGTTCCAGACTTCGTTCCATGGGCTGAGCAATCCACGGACAAGACCCAATCCAGAAGCTCAAGTAATGCCAACTTGCCAATCCTATCCATCCATTGGGCCTAGCTCCTGGTTATTTCTTGGGTCAACACTAACGATGCAGTTTGAACACGAAGCACGCGCTTATGGTCATTTTTGTTTTGTGCCCGACAGACGCAATGAGTTGCCCAAACCCAATTAAGCCAGTGGGCCTTCAGGCTGAAAAGCTTAGTTGAATGGTCACCATTCGAGGGCACTGATTTCCACCAATGCTTACAGGTACTTGGAGACGATTTCCAACAATCCGCTGGTCAAGAAGCCATGTGACTCCTAGACGTTTAGCCTCGAACATCCGTTCCGCGGCATCACAAGTGATGGCAACAAACGGTCTGGTCTCTAAAACTTGCAGAGTCGGGGAGCTTACACCCGGAGGATTGCCATTAATTTCTAGATATGGCGGAAAACTAATGCTTAGACGCTGGCAGTTTCGCGAGGCTCAACATTTCTTGCGCTTCATAGATGATGGAGAGCGAAGAGACGTAATGCACCATCTCGATTCGGAGGAATGATGAGTGCATAGACACCGCTAAACTGGTTTACTCACCTTTAAAAAGACTGATGACATATAATCACTGACCGAGTGCGCAAAGGCGGAATTGGAGCAATCCAGAGCCTGTCTTGTTCAGATATGGTCTGCGTCTGGAAGATATCGACAGGGCCAAGGTCAACACGGTCTTAGGCCTCGTTCAGGCGTCGTTCGGCGAGGCCGGCTTCGCCAAGGTTCGAGCGGCGATGAAGACTAACAAGTCTCTGGGATAAGCCTGTCATAAGCAGGCTACTCTGAACGAATGCAGCTACTTATATGACCTTTCCAACCATTTGGAAAGTCGTTCAGCTGACCTTGAGTTCTGCTGCTTTCCGGTTTCCGGCACGGCTTCGAAAACTGAGGTGTGGGCTTACATGATATTTGGACATCACCTCTACCTTCATGCTTTTGTTTTGCGACGCAGAATGTTCATCGACCCTGTGTTGTTGGATGCGGAGCCGAGCGTACGTATGCATCCAATGCTCAATTTTGGCCGTGCTGACGTTTTCTCAGATAATTAACAAAGAGCCTGGTCGAGAAGTCACTCTCTACGCGCGAGAGAGAGCCAGCAGAGTTTGGAATTGATGCACTCTCTTAGTCTGGGGATGCAAAAGGGGGGGAAAAGAGGACCCCCCCCCCCCCCCCCCAAAAAAAAAAAAAAAAAGAAAA